TTGAACAATAACAACTCTTCCCATATTACAAAAGGTGTTCACTTGACAACCTCAAATTATAGATATACCTGCTAAAAAATAGACCACACAAAAAAAGAAATATAGCACTAATCATGCGGAAACTTGAATGTCGGTAACATATACCTGACTAGTTCATTTAGAGAAGAAATAGTAATTTGAAACAATTACTTGAACCATTCTAACATCAACCCACACAACAGCAATCAGAAAATGCCATATGGGTAGACACTATCCAGTGAATCAATCAATAATGGAAAATGATAGAGAAAAAAAAAGGGGGGAGGAGAGAGATCTGGAAAAACAGATGCTCATGACCAACCTCATGCTGTTTGAGAAGTTCCAAGATCGCAAGCACAATATCTATCACATAGCAAAATCCAATGCTTCACACACTTCTTAGCGTGGTGCAACCCACCAGCCCAGTTATAGCAATGTCAGAGAAGACGTGATTTAACTTAACTGCACACCACTGACCTGCCACCAGCATAAGTTTGACACAAAGAGTAGAGACCATCAAACACGGGGCAGTCTTCACCAACATTGAATCGCTTGAGTTGCCTCAGCTGATCTTGCTGAGTTTCAGGGGTGATACTTCTCAGAAATGCCACATAATCATCGGCATGAAACCGGCAAAGATCTCTATCCCTTGCGGGAAAAGGCTTGAGGATCTGCATGTGTTGAAGTAATCCGTAATGTGCAAGAAGAGCATGTGTCATTCGAATCCTGTGAGGCTTCATAGGGTGACCCTGCCCATAGTAATAATTGCCAACCTCTGGATCATAAAAATAACACCTTTTCTCTTCACGCCATCGGATCCAGATGGAAGAGAATTGCCTCCAGTATCCATAGGCAATTATGTTTCACCTGATGCTTAAATCAAAGCAAAATAATAAGAGGATATAATGTGGTAATTTCGAGGCGTCCCATTTAAAGCAAGGCAACACTCCATGCTGAATGAGCAGATAAACTCAAAATAAAGCTATGTTGTCTACTGTCACTTACTTGGCGGGTTATATGTTCCCAAACAGAAACTTACTAAATTGGTAATGTATAATTTAGGGCTTGAGAAATTACATCATGGTGCATTAATTTTACATTATTCGAATGTTGGGATATAGGTTCAGAATAATATAGATTTGCAATCTGGAAACCTGAAACTTTGAATTCAGGAATACATTGCTCAATTGCAATTAAGGAAAAAATTGAAAGCACAAATTTTCAATTGTCAATCAGATTTTTTTGTCCAAAATAATAGTTCAGCGATGAGTAAATCAATCCATCTAATAGTCATCATAGCTTTTTCAAAATTGAAATAAATTGAAAGCATGAAGTTTGAAGGATCAATCAGATTTTTTTTTTACAAATCTTACAGTTTGTGGATGAATAAATCAATCTACGAAATAGTTGTTGGCATCTTACTATTCTTGATTTGATACATCCAACATGATACATTTTGCTCATAAAATTAAGTGTATCGCCGATTTGTACCGTTCATTAACTTTATTATATGTTACAAGACAGGTTATATACAAATGCATAAGCATACACATAGACTACTGCCTAGTTTAAAGGAAGTATCATCTTTCAGCCATTTCCAATGAATATGAACTGATTCATAGGGTTTTGAAATTAAAGGGAGGAGTTACTGTTTGTCTCCTTTTGCATCCTTTATGAGAAAATCTTATGTCTATGTTACTCAGGACCTACTGCTAGTTATCATGTCCATTCCAACTTTTGTTTGAGAGAGCATTATTACGGCATTTTTCCCTTTATTTGGAAGTTTTATGGTGGCAAAATTTCATCAGTAACCCTCACTTTTAGAAAATTTTGGATAAGAACATAGAATGTGTTGATGCAGCAAAAGATTAAATGTTGTGTAATCTATTTTCGCTAATTTTTGCATAAATAAGTGTATTTCACTGAAAAACCCATTTTTGCACAAAAGGCGCTTCCAAGAAGCAAGAAATAACTACAACTAAGCTCCTAGCAATAAATTATCTAAGAGGTCAACACGAGTATATGTAGGTCCAGTATAAATTCAATTAGAGACAACTCAAGATTATAGGATCCCGATCTCCAATTCTTTTCCCTATGATAGATCAAAACAAACATATCAGGGTCGTATCCCACCTTTCGTGGGAGCACCTTCTTACAGAAGACCCCTCCATCTGTGAAGCATCTCTAGCCTGACTTCGGTATAATCCCTATCATATGAACCAAATAAGCTATGTACCCAGTAACTCTCTAGCCACTTCTAAGACTATCATCAAATGTTTGCTGACTCCTCGGCATTTCTAGACATCCAACACCGATTGACAATGAAGTTACTCTTCTTTTACTATTGTCAATGGTGAAAAAAGCTTCCCACCAGGCAGTGCAAGTAAATAAAAGAACGTTTAAAAGGGCCCTCCTGAACCAAACGGCGCTCCAAGGAACCCTATCTGAGCTGTCCCCTAATCCTAACGCGTAAAGAAAGTGAAAATCTCCAAGGAAAGCTAGCCAGAGAATGTATAGAAAGTCACTTATGTATGATACACTTAACCAACGACAGACAGAATGTATAGAAAGTCACTTGTGTATGTTACACTTAAACATTCAAATGAACATACAAGGGGGAGATATTAGAATCAAAAACAAAAAAAAAATTGATATTCAAATATGTGGATTTGGAAAATAAACGAGCCTGCCCAAACTTACAAGGTGGTATAGTCACAAAGTAGGATATATATTATTTAATCAACAGAACTTTCACACGTAACAAACCTTACCAGACACAACTAGATATATAAAAAGATGAGTAAGTGACAAGGGAGGGGAATCAATACTAACTAAATAATAAGCAAGTCTAAAATCATAACAAAAAAAGTCTCAATTCGATATTCTTTGAAACGATTGGCAAGCTAATTGAGATACGGGGTGGAGATGTCAAAATCGCTTATACTCTCACTCTTCTGAGTTCGATAAGAACCCCCCAAAAAAATAATAAATAAATAAATAAAACATTGTACCCTCGACTGACTGTTGTCTGATGTTTTTGCTATCAATGTCGGAGCTTTTTTACATGATGAGCGTCTTCAATTAGATGAGGATTGGGCTCATCCCTTGAAGTAGAGGTGGCAAATGGGTGTATTGGTTGGTTATGGGCCGAGTTAAATTGGATTGAGTCCAAAATAAATCCAATTCATTTTCAACTCACATATTAAATGGGTTATAATGGGTTGGGTTAAACCCATTAACCCATAAAATAATTAAAACTCTTAAAAGACATACCAAAATACACACATTATTTCAGTTTCTTGTTTTTTTTTTTGGCCTGTTTTATGTGAATCATTGTAAAACATAGGTTTTTTTCTCAGTTTTATTAGAAACCGGATCAAATGAATTTTTAGCTTATAAAGAGCCTATTAGTGATGGATTTGGCTCAAAAGAAAAGCCTCCAAGTTCTGTGTTTAGTCCACGATTATGTGTGTTGACACTAACATGATACGATTATCCCTCACTACCATGGCTAAACCGTCTTTAAATTTTCTCCTAGAATAATTAACATAATTGAACAAAAATAAAACTGATTAATGCATATCTTAGTCTTCCTACACAAACAATTCACCAAACAAATGCAACTTTTTAAAATTGATTAATTGCATTTATACCCTTGCAGTGACCCTTCTTAGTAGGCTCAATGGTTAAAATTTGAATTTGAATTTGTTTAATTGGATACATATATGTACTTTTGATTAATTGTTTGAATCCACATGTATTATTTTTCCCTAATCAAATGTGGATATACTAATATCCAAACCAACTGTAATTCTATTTGAATTACATTGATACAATAAAATTGATTAATCACTAGTTGCAGTTAAGGTGATATAATCAATCAAATACGACACAACAAAATTTTGTAGAAAAAAACCAACTGTAATTCTATTTGAATTACATTGATACAATAAAATTGAGTAATCACTAGTTGCGGTTAAGGGGATATAATCAATCAAATACGACATATCAGAATTTTGTAGAAATTGATCATAATGTTATGATCAATCTCTAACTGATGGCAAGGTCATAACAATTTGCATGCAATGATAAATCTAAAAGAAGGTTGAGAGACCCAATCATGGGATATAGTTCCAATTTGTATGCAATGATTGATCTAAGAGTAGGTTGAGAGAAACCCAATCATGGGATATGGTTCCCGTGATATGGTTCTTTTATCCTACTCCATTTACACAAATTGTCTGTCACGATTGCACCAAATTCTTATCACAACATCAAACAAAATGATATTCCTCTTCTTGAGGTAAATTCTAATTCTACTTATTTAATAACTAAATAACTCCAACTCTCAAATATGAAATATGTACACCAAAAAAAGTTTTATACTTCACATCAATTCCCCTTCGATACCATAATTAACATTATATTCCCTTAAACTATCCGTTGAAGACATGGAGACCTCAATATTACTTCTCAATTGGACCCAAATACAAATCTACACCCACAAAAAATATGCATAAAACAATATATAATAAAGCATTCTAAAAAGTAAATCCTGACAGTTTCGAACCATGAATCAATCATCACAATACATGTCACTAAATATTTAGAATAACTAGAAGATGCTAATTCCAAAAAAAATTACCTTCATGCCAAAAAAATGGCAATAACTAACAACTATTAAATGCTAATCTAAAAACTAATTCCATGTGTAGGATAGTCTGGAGTAACAAAAAATACTGCTACAGTACATTGATATCAATAAATAAGACTTCAAGACCTAAGCTACTACTAATAAAAAAAAGTCCACTTGTAAGTTGTAACTACATGTAACTAAACTCCCATGTGACAAAGACTTCTAAATAAGCAAATATAACAAATTAATACTTAAAAAACTAGACTACTGCATTAGAACCAAGAAAGAAAAATTTTATTATAGCTTTTGGGCATTTCATCGAACACCTTGTGGGCAAAGGGTCAAAAACTTGGGTATGCCTTATATGAAAGGTCGGGTAAGCCTTTGCAATCATGCAAGTCAATGCCCAACAAATCTCGTGTGCAAAATTGTATTGTTTAAAAATTGTCAAAACTGGTCTTTTACCCAAACTAATGCAAATCAACTAGCACAACCTTCAGTTTAAAAGAAAAATAAAGGTAATGCTAAGATAGAACAAGAAAAAAAAAAGTGGGGAATACGATGTACCGATACTATGTTTTTGGAAATTTCAATCAATAGTCGAAGGGGGCTCACTTCTGGAAGAACGAATGGTGCGGATATGAGAGATTCAATGTGAAATTTCAGGTCGGAGATGTCTTTTCAAAACCCAGCCAAAACAGCAAAAGGAGAGAGGGGTGGGAGTGAAGTGAGAGAGAAACTCGTTTTGCTCTCTTTCATGACCGACTAGGCGACGAGGGGCCGAGGCGTTTTATGTGTATTACGCTTTTAGGAAGGCCCATTTTAACTCATAATTATACCTAATCCGTTTGTATATCATATTAATAAAAATGGTTAATCTCAAATTACACTCTGTTTGACGCTCAATTTATAGACCCCTTGAGTTTGTCACTTAATCGCATAAATTTCTTATATTTAAAATATTACACCTACATCCTTGAGAATTTAAATATAACTAAAAATATTTTTCCATTTGAACATTCAAATAATTATATTTATGTGATGTATTTCATTGGATATAAAGAATATTATATTGGACAATCAAATTGTAAACTTAATTTTGAATTTTAGAGTATAACAGTCCCATAAAATAAAGGGTAGTATGAAATTATATATTTTTATTAGGATGAAATCATATTTTTTAATTATTATATTAACAGATATCAACGATAAAG